ATTATATCTTGCGGGAACGCAATTAAAGAAGACATGGAAAAAATATGGAGCAACGTTCATAAAGATTTTTACGTTTTTTTTTTCAACTCTTTTATCTCGCTTTTAATTTTAGTTTTAATAACATTTTCGCTATGCTGTCACTTTTTATTTGAAACTTGATTTATACATTAAAATTTTAGTATTTTTTTACATAAAATATTCAAAACAAAAACGTATGATCAAAATACGTTAAAAATTTAGTATAAAGATTTTTATTTAATCTAAAATTATGAAAAACTACTTTTTTGGAGATATCGTTTAATGATACAATTTATTGGTAATTAATATCCTTGAAATGATATCACTCTCAATGTATGCATATTGTATTATATCAGAAATTACAATACATTATGATTTCTGAATATTCCAAGGCCGTATCCTAAATAATTGTTGACAACCTAAAATTTATTACATTTTTGTATTGACAGAAATACTTTTCTATTTATATGGGAATTACAGGATCTAATTCTGTTTTTTATTAAAGATATTATTTCTTATATTTCATTAAACTATTTATATAACAATTAATTATAATTTTCTTTACTGAGTACATTGAAAGACGTATTGCGTCTGAATTCATAGAAATACCGTCTTTATATAATACAAACAGGTTCATCAAAATTAAATTGATTTTCATGTAAACCGTCTGTTATAGTTACTTACGAATAAATATCAGAAGATATCTTTTCGATTCTGTGTTGTGGTCATTTGTGTCCAAGCCTTGCTTTCTTATGTTTTTTTACAGTATTTTTCAAATATTTTTAGACGGAATTCATGTTTTGTAGTTTTGTAGGAAATTTTCGTTGGCAAAGAGGGGCAAGCTAATTCTATTGTGCATATTTATTACAGTCAGTATGTGCATAATTGATGTATGTGATAATTTATATATTTTATATATTTTATATTTATAAAGAAGTTTCTTTTGTTATCACATACATAATTGATGTATGTGATAACAAAAGAAACTTCTTCGTTTAAAGAATCATTTGTCCATCACAACACAAAATAGTTAAATTTACCTAGCCATATAAATTATTCTTTCCATCTTTTACTTCAGGGCTTATAGTTTCTGCTAACTTTATTTTATTTTTTAATACTATTGTTTCCTTGTCAACAGAATGTTTGAAAAATATTTATTTTAATTATAATTTTCCACAATTCACGTATTATATACTACAATTCTCTCTATATATACCACAATTTTTTTATATTGTAATATTAGTTTATTCTTTTAACTTCAAAAATAGTTGAATTTCTTTAAATGAATCTATTTGTTATTTATTAATTAAAATATTCAAAGTAATTCACCATCATCCACGTTGTTCGTTAAAAATACAATAATGTAATGTATTTGAAATTTCATTATTAGCTAAAGAATAAAATGAGACTGAGTTTCTTGATTTCCAATTTAAGTTTCAAATAAGATAACGGACATTTCAAACGAAAAACGCGTAAAGAAAATTAAGAGTCTAATATAATTTGCCTTTATTACTTCACATAAACATTTGGATGTCGACATTTATTTTAATCTTTAAATCCCTTTTATTAATTAGCATATGCTATATATGATTAAAGGCTTGACCTGAGATTAAAATATATTAAAATGCAAAGTACACCGAACCCCCCCTGTCATTATTTGCTTAAATCCCATCAACTTAGACCCACTCAAATGTTACTCTTATAGGGATCGCGCTAATGGACCAGATTAAGCCTCGTCCACACCATTTTTGACATAAATCAAAAAGTTATGTGTTTGTTTACGTATTTAATTATATACCACCTTTTATATATAAATAGTTATTTTATTAAAGTGTTTTTCAAGTAGTTTGTTGTATGGCGAAACTTTGTTATCTTACCATACAGAAATTTGCGGTATAAGTTTTTCAATATGTAAAAATCATAGGTGATAAATTAAACCAGATATTTATTCTTAAAAAAATTCAACTATTTAAAAAAAGATCTTTATATGGAGTGAAAAAACTTTATGCGATTAACATTCGTTTGTGTAGAGAGAACCGTCGTTATTAAAACGGATTTGTGACTGTAACAAATTTTATCAAAGTAAAATTTTTGAAACACAGTCCAATTGAACCCAAAGATAAGTAAAATGGAAAACACTTAATGAAATTTCCTAACACTTTTTATATTATTGGTGTCTGTAATCAGTACCAGGTATCATGTCTCTGTGTACAAGTTGCTTTATGTGTTAATTTTTTTATGTGACACCTCTCAGTCCCCTAAGGTAAAGTCAACGTCACGGCACGTAGTCGCGTGCATTAGAATTGCAAATTGTCTCACATCAACTTGCTCGTATCTGGTGATATTTTATACTAAAATACACGACATCATTAATGTGACAGAAAAATATAACGCCGATAATCTTTCATATCAAAATAAATTATCAAAGAGTAAAAAATATAGGACAGTATTTATTTATCTAGTTTCTTTAATATATATAATTGTGTAAGTCGACTATTATCCCAAAACGTTTTCCTCTTCATCACCAACGAACCGTTTCTAAGAACGTTTAAAAAGCGTTTAAATAGATCTCTTTAGAATTGTAATCGATATTTCGCCGAAGAACACTAAATCGTTAATCGCATTAAAGCCGACTCAATAGATGGGCGTTTGAGTCTTTTGTTCTTGCTCAGGAACTTGGAGTGAAAAGATTTTTTATCATTAAATACGGCTCTACGATTCCCGAGATCTGTTTTATGCTAATCTTATTGTTGGTTTCATTAAATCTGATGATAATTGTACGATTGGATATTACCAATTACTGATTTAATTATTAGATAATAGAATCTTACAACCTTAAAATGTCCCGTCTTTAAAACAAGCGCGAAGAATTATATAACGCTACAAAAGGATTAAATATAAAAGCATGACGAAATAGCTGTAATTCGTTCGTCACAAAGTAAGTGTAATTCTTTGTTTCTATTTAACAACGAAACTCTTTTCCAACTTATTGTTACGCAAACCGTAATCGGTTGCTAACATGAATTTAACATGAAAGGATACAGGTCTTAAAGTGTATCTGGCTTCTATCCTTTGGCGGTTCTCTGTAGTCATGAATGCCAAATAATTTTCAAGCGGTGATATCATGAATATTTTAATCTCAACTGAAAACGTAACTCACACCTTAACTATGTAGAACATCTGCGGACCGGCGAGTGCAATTAGGAATCAGTAATTACGGAATTAAAGAAAACGGCGACGGGGAAATTCTAAGTAATGACTCACAAATTGCTCGTTCTTATAACGTTTGAATATATTTTTTACTAAAGTCATTAAAAGTTTAATTTTAAATTCGTCTGACCATATTTCTTGTACATTTTGATGTTTACTGTTTATAAAGAGTATAACTTAAGTCTCATTAACATCTCTTTGTGGTAAATTTCACTGTAATTAACGTAATTAAAAGAAATTTATGTTATTGTACTGTAACGACTAGTATTATTAAAACAAATGAAACATTTAAATTATATTGAATAAATTAGCATCTCACACGAGTGTTCTCCACGCACCTGTTACAATAGACTATTATTTAGTATTCATAATGTCTACAATTAAATTAATTGGCCCAACACTTGTCCTAAATGCTCCCAGTTGTCTAACAACATAAATATGTAAATTTAAAACAATAAACAAGCAAAATATGAATTAGAACAAATTCGCGTCTTATTTAAGACACATTTGATTACAAAGAGGCGTTTACGTTAGGAACGCTTGCCTTTGAGAAACGAATAGTTTAACTTGTTTAAATTTATTTAAATGTAGATGAATATTTTGAGACTTTTATACATTTTTCACTGAAATTTTCTTCGTAGAAGTCTCTGGCGCGTCAGAATTTAACTTTTATTCATACCAAGCTAAACTCACTTTGGAATTACTTTATTTTAATTAAAATTTTATGAAATTATGTCATGTTCAATCATAATAAAATCATGTCGTCTGCCATTATTTATTTCTGTTATTCAATTAAGTCTAATGATTGAAGAATCTCAAAGTGACGCAAACTTGATTTTGGTGAAACATCGAGTTTCCTTATTTACTTTTTCCTTAAATATTTTGCCTGTATTCGAGAAATTGGCTGAGAATTCGCTGTGATAAAAATAACGGAAGAAACTGTAGGATCAACAAAACTGTTAAGGCATATATCACAAAAAATACATTTGTTCCTTTTTGATAATGATTCTGACTTTTGCTTTAGAATTGCATCAAGCTCTTTGATATATTTTTTTGCAACCTAAAATCATAAGTATTAAGCGACTTAAGCTACGTTTGGGATAAATAAAATTATGATACAATTTTGGTCTATTTAAAAATAGTAGCATTTTTTTATTAAATTTCAACAAAAAGCTCGTGTTCATTAGCTTTTCTTTTTGGACACTAGTTTTAAGACACATAGCAATAAGTATACGAAAGGAATATTGATTATAGAAATTGGATTATCGTAAAAAACAGAAACTTAACTTTCTAATTTGAAAATAATATATAAATATAACATATACATACTTATTAAAAATATAGTTAGCAGTAACATTTCTTATTTTAATGTAATCAGTATTCTAGATATTACTATCTGTATCATTTTATCTAAAATATTTCCTCGTTTCCCAAAGCGCTTTTCAAATTTGCAATTTAAATTGCACGGAGGTGAATAATAATTGTGCGTTCTATTTTCAACTTAGCAACTTAATTATAATTATGTTGACTAGAACGCTGATATGTTACGAGAAGTGTTGTTAAAATAACAACATTTTTATCTCAATTATATATATATGTACATATAGTTGAAGCACATAATATATATTAAATAACGTATATAAGCATTAGAAATAATAAATAAGATATTATGTAGGTAAACAATGAAAACAGAATGTAATTACATAAACGAGACACAAATAAGTCTTCAGTAAAGAGAACTTATAGTTTGATTACAATAAATTGATTATTACCTGACATTCGTATGTACCGTTATCCCTTTTCTGTACAAACTTGATTTGTAGGGTCCAATCCTCTGACCCTTCTCCGTGCAGTACCTGAAATTTTATAGAATTAGTGTCTGTTTGACATTTTCAGTTATATTACATAAAAGATACAACTATTGAGATAAAAAATGTTGTATTAATTAAAAAAAGCGAGTTCCAATTTAATAAATGAGATTTCATTTTAGAATTATGAATATTCTTAGTCGTTAGTGCTAACTGTGACGTCTAAAGTATACAATGATGGACATTTGACGGGATGTTGGAATAAAACTATCTTTTTTAATTCTGGTCTATTTTAAATTTTAAATTCAGAGAACCGACGTTTGAAATGTCTTTCATCATTTTTAAAAGAGGTTAGGTTGTATTGTTAGTCAAATTGTCAGTTATTTCTCGACTAACGCCTTTAAAATTGTTAAAAATGATATAACTGAATTTAATAAACACCCCTGCTGATTGTCATTTTACAATTATACTAACACTTAAGTAAAGCAGTTAATCGAATAATTGAATTGTGCTGTTACTTTACAATAATAGAACGATCCCTTAAATAGGTAAGAACCGCCGTTAGGAAACTGGCTTTCAAATAAATAATCTCATCAAAATCGGCCCATCCGATTGAGAACTGCGATAGCAGTTCTCAAATAGACACACACACACACACACACACATACACACGCACACATGCATACACACACCGAGAGATACAGACAGATATTAACGTCAAACTTATAACACTACTCTTTTGAGACGGAAATTCAAAAAAGTTCATAAGACAATAAAAATCTTTATATCATACTACTAAAAGCTTCTGTAACTACTAATTATTATTTTGTATATAATAATTAATTAATGGATAACTGTCTCAAGATATCTAAGGACAGTATCGGTCAATGTTCTGTTACCAGAACTTCCCTCTTAATTAATTTCATCGATCCCTTTCCCGTATATCACACGGTGATGTGTTCAAAGACGCTTGTAGATTAAACTGCTAATAGTAATCGGATTAATCATTTAATATATCTGTCAGAAATTTATTTGGTACCAGGTACAACTATTTTTAATGCAAAATCCAAGATTATTGCATTGTAAATATTACTATATAGATATATTTATTTAGTGAATGATTTAAGAAATGAACATATTAGAAAGATTTGTCGTAGTCATTCTGAAAATGTATGAGTGAACATTCAGAACCAGATTTCATTTAATGATGGCTTATAAAGGTGTTTGTCAAGGTAATTGGTTCATTAATAATATGTGATGTTACAGAAATAATGACTAATTTACGAATGAAAAAGTTTCTTAAAGTGGAAATATTTTTTAGTTAGCTTTTTAATTTTATATTTATTTTTTAGTATGATGAAATCATAGTTATTATGTCAATCTATGTCTCAAAACCTACAATAGAACAAAATCCAGAGAGTTTGTACACATCTTTGGTTTGACTACACAAAATATATTTTAATAAAAAAAGAAATTGATATATTTTAATGATTAAGTGTAACGAACTTTAAATCCATCTAAATTAACCAAATATTACACTGTGACATTAATTAATGTAAACTAAATTCTGTATATAAAGACATCATTAGTTAATTCGTTTTGCAATACTGCAGCCGGGATCACATTTTCATTAGACCGTAGCGTTAATTCTGCGGTCTGCGATTCCTGAATAATTCACTGTTTAGCGGCGAAGTATCTGCTTTTCTAATTTAACTAAATAATTATGACATATTTTAATTGTGTTTCCCCCGCATTGCGATGTTAGTTTATCAGCAAATGGGAATAAAGTAATTTATTATTATGTGAGTTTTAATGAGAATGTGCAAAAGTTTATTGTGAATGTGATTAAATGCGTTACTGTTTAGGTTTAACGGAGCTTGGTAGTTTTAACTATGAATGATGAAGTTCGTCATGTCAAAAATTCTATGTAGTATTCATTTTGGTTATTATTACTCTCATATAGAACTTCTATGGTTTTTCTAAGAAAGTTATAGACATTCGTGGGACGGGTAACATAATATTGGTAAAAGTCAACTACACTTTTCACACTTTTAAGTCCTATAGATATCATTGAACAATGTATTTTTATTCACAGTAAATTTAATCTCAAAGCCACCACAGTATAAACTTGTTGTAAATAAAAATCTTTTAAAACAATTACACTGTGCCTGGTTCTATATTTAATGCGGTTTCATAGCACCTAATGAAGGCTGTGTTGCAGAAATATTTCTTTGTAAATCTTTTATAGAATATCCTGTGTAAAGAATGAAATTTAAATATTTTTGACTTATATTTTTATACATTTTTGAATAAGAATATTATTTTTCTTTATAAATGAAACCCAAATGTTGTGATGAAAAATAAAAAAGTATCTATGTCTTCCAGGCTTACAAGGATATTGTATAGAAAAATCTAAAGTGGAAGTGAGAAACAAAAGAAATTATTAAGAGTTATACATGATAACCTTTCCGAAGGTTGATTGACCTCATAGTTTTAAATGAATCGTTTAAATACTGCCAACTAATTCCGTATCTATGCTTCAGACATTATTTAATATATAAACATATCAGCTAACTAATGAATAAAATACTAGCTTGTATATATGTCCTGTCTTCTTGATTTGACCGTCTCATCATAATGTTCGTTATTTACATAACAAGTATTCAATGTATAAATTACTTAATTCTTACAATAAAATATATGAAACAATTGTTATCAGACCATTGGTATAAAATCGAATCGTCGTTTATCAAAATCAATTAATCTTAACGAACATATTATTTGTGTATGGCGTCTGTCTGTCTGTAACAATTAAGTGCTATGTTTGATCCATACTGTGCTAACGAAACTGGACTAATTATATTTTATGGACTCCCTTATAGTATGACCAGTAAATTTAGTTCGTGTACTAATTACTGAAAATAGGCTAATGATGTACCTAATTAGAAAAGCAGAATCTATTAGCATCAAAACCATTTTATGGATTTTGACGTTTACAGATGTGTTCATAACTACATTTAATTTTTCTTTATTATATATTTTTTTGTTATTATGTTAATCAAATGTAATAGGTAATGTTTCTGTTCTATTATTTTTACTTTCTTTTGACTTGTCTAAAACTTTGTCGTTATGGAAGTTGATTTTAACTGAGTGAGATCCTTTTAACAAAAGTAACAATTTATTAAATAAAACATTTCATAGTATATTCTATTGTTATTAATAACAGTTTTTTTAGGGATTTTTTTTTCTTTTTAAACTGAGTTTTAATTTTCATTAGTCATAGTTTTCTTTCAAACTATTTTATAAGACAGAGATTGATTGACACAAGCTATTAAAATCATGAGTGAAAGTGACGCCCACAAAAAATGGTTATAAGTTACATATGTCATTATGTGATTCGAATCCCTATAAAAGCTCAAGTTTAATCTTCAGCGCTATACCAGATACCGTATCAAGAAAGACACAATTCTTTGAGAAACTGAAGTTACTTTTACTATTAATTAAACTTTTTTCAAGACGGTAACTTGCTTTTCTTTATCAGATCCAAATAAATTTTCCAGTCGCCTGACTAATAATGGAACTTTTTTAAATTATAAAGTATAAATATTTTTATTAAGATGAGATAACCACGATAAACAAATTGGAGATGTTTTTTCTGTCTTTTAATTAGGATGCCATTTAATTATTTAGCATATTAGATTACTACAAATAGAAGCGTCATTCGTTGGCTTTCTGATCTAATATCCCACATTAACAAATGTAATACTATATGATATTTTAATTGATGAATATATGATAATAGTTTAAGTTATATTGGTAAATTGTAACAGTGTTGTGTACCAATTAGATGAGAGTCTTAGATATCATTATGAATTTCAAATATTTATAAAATTGATTAGTACCATCTAACAAAATGTTTATGTTTAACATACTTTGTATTTAATAAAAGATATTTGTTTAAATAAATTATGGAGTTTTTACTCATTTATCATTACATAAACTCACCTGGAATCTCTCATCATTTGTGTAAGTGAACTTGCCAGAGCTCAGGATATGCCAATCGCGCTTTCTAACCCAGGATACTTGCTGCCAAATAAAAATAAAAATTACTTTAGTAGGATAGAAATAAAAATAGATAAAATAAGCATAAACGAAATAATATGAATACATTTGTATTTAAAATCTAAAGCATATTATAGCAACTTTGATATTACTATTGCTTTAACCTGCAATGCGCTAAGTTAATTCTAAAGAAGATTTTAATCGGCTTATTACAGGCCATATTTAGCGACTACTTAACCACATCCGACTGTTCCATAGGTTTATGTTAATAAATTGACCGAGATTCATAAAATGTGCAAGTTATAACGCTAAAAATGTTTTTTGATATAATATTTACAAATAAATTCGTTTTTCTCTTTACAGTATCATATATACAGATCAGTTCAAAGCTTTTTTTGCAATTTATCGAACAATAAATTGCTTTTTATCAAGAATATACTCGGCCCAGAGATCAATTTTGCAAGATAAAATTGCGTCGTTAAGTCGAGTAGAGCTACACAAATGACTCTCGATTTATCCTTGTACTACCTTGTACTGTTTATTTTGCAGTTTTGTAAAAGAAAAATATTATATTTTCTCAGTTTTCATCATTGCACCATATAACTTTTTAATTTTACAAAAATGTATGTAGGTGTGAAATTTTATATTGTTAATTTCGATTTGTATAAGATTTAAATGAATAATATAAATATTTATTTATTCATCTGCAGTTATTACTTATGTTTTATGTCTGCTTTTATTATATTTACTTATCATATTCACATACTTTATTTCAATTTTTATAATGGAACTCATTCCAATGTTAGTAATATTTTCAGCAGGTTTGTTGTGGAAAGATATCTAAAATATTATGTCGTGTAATTTTAACCCAGGGAATAATATACGTACCCCCCTCTCGCTTAAATGTCCAACCAGACAGTGTAAGTAGGCTGTTCCTCCGAGCTGAGCTGTAATATTGCTGACGGAGTTGTTTGCAGTGACGTCTGCTGGGGCAGTGCCTCTCCATCCACGGGCACGAGAAGCACCGTGATGACCTGTTAATAATTAAATTAAATTCTTTTAAACCAAGGGCATCATTTCACTATTCTCGAGTTTATTGACCTTAAAATATCATGTATCAGTATTTATTTTTCTGTTTACGGAAAATGTCTTTAGTCACTTAACACGAATGTAATATGACAAAATCAATATAAGAATTGTTTTGAACTAATTCACGTACTCGTAATAGTCTGAACTGACTGATGAAAATTTATCTTGCGCTTATTTTACTCGATCTACTTTGTATAAGGTATTTACGTTACGGATCACAACATTGTGGCACGGAAGAATCTTTTCGAATAAAATTTTACATCTACTAACAATATATGAAGAATAGAAGTCGAAAAAAGAATCTTACTAACAATGCAGCAAGATTTAAAATCCTAGAATTTTTCATATATATTTATTTGTATGTAGGTGTTTCAGTACTAACGTATATCTCCTGTGGGGGATGTAAACAGTGGCATCATACAGAATACAGCAGCCGCGAACGGTATACCCATCCCGCCGGCCACTCGCCATTTCATCTGGAACAAATTAAAACATATCATTAGCTATATATTTCACTGAAACTTTTCTTTACACTTCAAATTAATTGTTATAACTATGTATAGTCTGACTATTAACACAGTAGTCGGTAGGAGTGTGAAAATAATACTAATATTGTCTTTTTTTTTATCAGAACCATTTAGAGATTTTTACATAGAAGTAAGTCGTCGAAATAATTTTCTCATATTGACGTTACTAGTTCATAGTAATGAGAAAGAATGGTTAAGTGGCTATATCAATGGTATGAAGTGTCTTTATTAAAGATATCGTAACTGTTATTTGCGCATTAATTCGATACGTACTGCCTTATGAGTTGAATGAGAGTTCAAACTTTGAATTTAAAACTATTAACTAGCTATCTGTCGCTTCATAAAAAGTTTCCAATATAAGAACGAAGTAAACATATTAACAGAAAATTTATTCAATAAATGTCCATAAAAATAAATGTTCTTAAAAATGCCAGCATTATTCGAATGACATTGTTTCAGTTTAATCTCGTTATGCCATTAAGTCTGGAAGGAATAGTACCGATCATTGCTGGAGGTAAAAAATATATATTTTTTTCATTTGATTCCGTAAAAACGATTCCATTGTGTGCGGTGTTTACTTAAATACCTCTTTGTGATCGAGAGAAATTTTGTTTGGCTAAGAAAATTATTTGTTAGATGTGAAGGATTCAAGAATCTTAAGGGAATTGAATGTTTTATAACAATATCTACTTTCTTTATTAAAAAAATCAACATTTAGACTAACTATTTAAAAAATTTCTACGTAATTTTTTCAATGAAATATATTCTTTTATGCTTATTTTACTTTGCACTATCTAAGAAGAGACAATATTAACTCTGGTAAAATTATAAATGAATAATTTTAAATCAACTATTTTCACTGCAATTTCAAAGCATTCACAGTAACGTTTTTAAATATTTTATAGGTTAAGGGCAGGTGAAAAAATATCGGTCAAATGCCTCTCACGAATTTTGCAAAGCGCAAGTCTTTTCAAACTAATTTTCTTTTTATTTATTCAGCCAGCAAATCTGGGACACGGGGATTCCTCAATAAATGAAACTGCTTGGAATAACGAGATCATGTTTTATTATATTATCGTAAATGAAATGTATTTATTATTCTATACTTAAAACACTTATCATTTAACTTAGTGTATTTATTTGTTTAACTGACTTTTATTCCTACTTGAAAATGTATCCATATCATTATTATCATGTTAACCAGTTGATATTGTTATGTTAAAACCAACAAACACCATTCTATTACACGATAATAAGTATAATATACTATGCAAATTAAATAAATTTACATAATTTAATGAAATCTTTATATAATCTTGTTATTTGAGGTTTTTAAGCTTGAAGAACTTTTGGGAAAATATTCATGGGAAGATGACGTAATTCAGGGCCCTTTCAACTTGTACTTAATCACTTCGGAATTTAAGCCGTTAATCTTTTTCAATATTTCTGGATAATTTATAAATCTATCACAAACTTTTCAAATTACTCAACTCATTTACGTTTATACACATATTTCTTAGCTATGGCATCTATAATTTAAATACTTGTAATGAATTGTCCTTGCTTGATCTATCAATATATTGTGTTACTAATATCAGAAGATAAATGCTAATTATTTCCCAAAAAAATCATTTCTGAGTTTCTCTTATAAAATTTAACTTCATCCCCTCATAGTAGATAAGTATGTATACATATTTTAAAGCGAGTCTTCATTTTCATATTTGAAATTAGTTTTCCATTACAAACATCGGTGGCTCAAAAACTTCACTTTAACATTAAAAATATTTTCTCTCATTTCCTATTTTATATATCAAACATTTCAATATAATGCTTGTATAAAATGTTTCCTGTAAAACGAATAAAGCGTGATATTGAAATAATTTAAATTAGTCATGAATGATAGTGTCAGCTATTGTGAAATATGTTTTAAACGCGCAAAAAATGTAATTGAAACTAGTTTTAATATTTTCTAGATATATACAAAACCTGAGCTGCAAGAATTTCATTATTGTGACAGTTAAGTAATGTAGCGCAGCACTAAATGCGTGTTTCGCTAGTGTACTCCATTCAATTGCGGTACCTATTTCTCAAGCTTTTTCCCTTTTTCAATTTATTTCATGTGAACTAAAATTGTTTTGTCATTCTCACCGTAGACTGATGCTATGGTGGAGTATGGTGATAGTTTTGGTTATCACAATTGAAAAGTTTTATCTCATATTTGTTAAGTACAACATATTTAGGTAACAAAAGAACGTTTAATCGCAAGAGAATCAATTAGAAATATTCATTCAGGCCTGAGTTTGAAATGAAATTGAAATTAACATTTTTAAATAAAGGTAAATATTTTGATATCAAATAGTTAAACAAAACTAAAATTTCATATTTAAGGACCTAATATTCATAACTGTTATGTTATTCAGAACGAAAAATTCAATTAATTAGGAGAATTTCAAGAAAATATACCGTTTGATATTCAATTAGGCCAGCGAACTAATTTAGATAAAAATCAATATTTACGTTCCTGAAATGTTGCAAAAATGAAAAGGTTATTTCAACCCATTAGATATTTCAGTTTAAGGTATGGGAATTACGTACAAAGATATCACTTACAGAATTATTGGTTGTGATAAATGATAAGATATATCTAAACAATTCATTGGACACAAAATAATTTAAAACTATACACAATCACAACACAAAGGAAACTAAAATAATTTAATAAGTATAATAGATCGAGTTTTACCACGAATTGATGTTAGTTGTAAAAGGCGAACCAATTCGGTTCAAAGGAATTTCAGTTTCAATGGACAAGATAATTACTTTGTTGATCTTTCCGTTCTGTCCGCTGACAGGTTGGTGCCGATAACTGATGGATTCCTGGCTAAATAACAGTTGGCTGTGGGAGAATTCACGAATTATATAGACTCAATGGTTACATAGCATGAAATAAAGGAGGATGATGTGCAATTTGTTTATTAAAAGCGACTTTCATTTACTTATTTGTTAAGTTCGTAAGCTTTCATAGGAGCATTATTTTTATTTGACATATTTTAATCTTTGTTATATGAATTAAATAGCTCTTTATGTAGTTCTTATAATGATTTAACATAATATTAGAACTTTAATCAAAAATATATTTTTTCAACCATAATCAACTAGCCGTTTCACCTAAGATCTTTTTCGTTTGCAATATTACTTAATTAAAGCTATTGGAATACGAGAACTAAATTAATTATGTCTTAATATTTAATTCTGAATTGTTATCAACGCTTGAGGTGAATTAATGGTTCTTATCGTGTCCGGTCTGAAGACGCATTATTTCAAACAACAGTAGGCTACACTTAAAATAAATTGATAGCTTTTAAAATGGTATGCTGTATTTCTGTTACTCTAAGGTTTAAAAATGAAAGGACACAATTTATTTGCTACACGATATTCCACATATTTTTCATTAACTTACGTTAATTGAAAGTTTTATACGATATTAAGTAAAAATTTATCATCAATTATTGAATTTTATTATTATATTAAATATTCACGAGAAAATGGCTTATAAACTACGAGATAAACTTAATTTGCTGGTATATTTCCAAGAAAAGCGGATTCGATTTGAGAATTATTTATATTAAATGACAGCTATTTAATCATAGAAAATAATTATAGCATTTATGAATAAAAAATATATTATAACTGTATTAATCAATGTTTGCATGAAAAGCATTACGCAATTTGTTATTATAATGAAATGAAATATAAGATTGGTATCTAAGAGGAATCCTAATACATCCTTCATCTTAAATTTATGTACTATCAGGGTACAAAAACTAAGCCTGAAAAATTTTCATTCTCTTCCTCAATTTTAGGGTACACAATATTCATTATACAACACGAAATCTGTGTGTATTTGCCTTTGCACTTTATACGTAATTGCTAGCTCAAACAAGATTAGATGAGGGCAGGGTGCAAAAATACACAAGATTGAAAAACATTCGTAACTTCGTTACAAATTTTTAGACCTTATTATTTTTTAATACGCAGTAAAATCAATATTAAGAGGGAAAAATTCGTAAAGAATCGTGATGAAAATTTTTGATTTTAAAAAGGAAGCTGTTCTTTCATTTGTTTATTTTATAACATCAAAACTATGGGTCATGGATGTAGAAAAAAATTGTGAGAATTTTGACGATATCAAAAAATAGAAAAATATTAGAACGTATTTTGATATCTTGCATATACACAATGAGTACGAAACAATGGAATTAACAATGGTACAGTTTTAATTGGTAGCCAGTTATATAGGTCAGCAAGAAATCAAACTGCAGGTTCTGAAGCCCTGAGCTAAAAAAGCCTTTTGTTTATGTCATAGCTTTATTTTTGTTAGTGTTTGGGACTGTTAAAAGAAGTGTATTTGTGAAATTTCACTGTCACTGAAATTTAATTAGATGATACAGCAGAAATAATCTATTCTATAACGAAAAATATATTTTATTAAAGTTTAAAAGAAGATTTCATTTTGATGAATTGACATCTTCATTGAAAACCAGCTAGCAGTGTTATAACGGTTTTCTAAATTATATAAAGTATTAAAAAACATAAGGCCTCAGAAAGGAAATAGAAAAAAAGGTGTTACAACTGATATTGGGGTCGAAGGATGACTTACAGCATTTCGCACTCTCACTACAACTATGTAGTTTAGGCCGATCGTTTAAGTAATTTCTACTTAACAGCGGTTTTCAACTCTTAACTCTAGAAGCTCAATATAATTGATTATAATATACTTTAGCACCTATAGAGCGTATAAACTTCACTTTCATTCTCCATTCATAATCATTTAATCAATATCCTTACAATCGAAATGAGAATATAATAAATACAAAATGAATGAAGATGACGCCAATATTGTCATTTATTAGATGATACTGAATCTAGCAACAATAATAAAGAATTAGTTCTTTATTAGTACCAACAAGACT